TTTGAAGATTTCCTTTGTTTTAAAATGGAACAATTGAAATTATTATGATCATTTTTTTCTATTGATGTTAAACTACGATGAAATTATTGGTTAAACTAATTTTATATCAAAAACTAATATTTATTTCGTGACACATTGTAATATGCTATTAAAATAAATGTATGGTAAAAATTCAAAATTAATGCTAATACCCTTTGGTAGGTTTCTAGACTAAGAGAACGTTATTTCATATTTTTCGCTTACAAGAAATCAACGAAAACATCTGAAACGGACTTTAACAACATCGATATTACTTCACAGTTCGATCGGTTAATCGCCATCAACTAATCGAGTCATGTGCGAAGTTAACCAAACGTTTAGCGGCAACTTTCACCTGCCATTTCAAGACAATAAAGAAAAATAATACAAGTACCCACCAAACGCGACAACACAACGGAATAATGTTCGTTGTTGCTTAGGCTATCGGCTTGTAGCTTTTTTCCGCTCATTACCAAATCAAAACGACAACTGGTTTGATCAGATCAAATTATGTTAATGGAACGTAAAAAAAAATAATTTTATGTGGCGACGTCACAATTTCATTCATGCCCCGAGGTGAATAAAGGGAATTTGAAACTAGTAGTTTTTAAGAGCAATTGTTTTCTCTTTGCTACAAACAATGTAATTTCCTTTTCCTTTTTTCTTGATGGTGTAATTTCAGACTTTCTGGTAGTTTTTGACATAAATCACAGATATTATACAGGGTGATTCATGGGCACGGTGGATTATCCGAATTAAGCAGACAATTCCAAAATAGGGTTTATCATGTCAAAAGTATGACAAAATATGCTTAACATTAAAAAACAATTTTTAGAACAGAAAAAGATACTCTGCCCGGTATGTACCCAACTCTTAGAATTGTTTGGGCATATTTTATATAACGTTGTCTATTACCGCTTGAGGAATTAAATTCCCGTTTTTCCCTCTGCAGGATAGCTCGTTATTATATCACCATAATAGTTTATTTTATAGAATTGTTTTTTAATGTGCTGCATGCTATAATGGTTTCCATTATTTCGCAAACATCTTACAACATTCAACTTCCTAATTTTGAATGGAACACCCTGTATATTATTCCAAGTTTCCCTTTACTTAATATTAATAGTTTCTTAAATATCTTGATTAATTTAAAGATTTTTTTAAACACTGCTCTTCTCACCATTTGATTTAATTTTCAAACACTAGAAGCATCGTCTTGGTTAGAAAAATTACACCAATTTCATGATTTTCAATAAATTTTGATTCTATGACTTGATGCAATTCTACATACATTTCTCTATACCTATTTTCAAGAGTCTTCTTGCTCATTCGTATTCTCAATTAAAAGTCAAATAAACCCCAAAATTTTCTCTTGCATTGAATTTAGTCAAGTTTGACATGGCAGATGCACATAAATGATTCACTACGCGATTAATACTAGACCTTATTACGTATTTGAATAAACTTTATCGTTTACTTTAATTTCATTTCACTTGCTTTTGCGATCCAAGTTTTTCTATGTCTTTCGTTGGATTATTACGTTCTAAATTCAGTTTTCTTGTGACAAAGCACTGTGTTAAAAATAATGTTACATCATTCAAAATTTACGCTCCAGAAGTAAAAATCCAAGGACTACCAATCAGGTGATCTAAGTGGTCATTTCTAGAGCATTTTTAACCCGCAAATAAAACTGACAACAAATGAAACTAGTTCAGAACAAACTTCTAATTAAGAGCGGAGAGACTAAACAAATATTTTAATAACCATATTATCCAACACTAGCCTAAAGGTTAATAATGTACCATTAAAGTGAAATTAAATTGTGAATAGCAAGCAGAAAATATATGCTTTTTCAAATTAGTAAATTCTTGTATGAATCGTTTCAAATTTCAAAAAAAATATTTACATACAAGTTCAAGTACTGTCCATTGTAAAATTGAGATGTAGCGGCTAGACACGTGGAAGTTCGTAATTATTTTAAACGCGAAGCGGTTCGCTCTTTTCAGCAACGTTGCGTTAAAGACGTGATGTTTTTGTTAACGAAAACTTTCTATTAGGTTTCACTTAAAATTTTTAATTTTATTTAATAAGCGACGATGTCTTCCAACTTTCCTTCGCTTCAAATTTGTCTCGATCGGCATGTACAAAATATTTGTCAATTTAATTATTCGGTTACGTTAACGACTTCGGTAAAGCGTAACGATTTAATACAAATTATTAATTTTTTCGTTAAGCGGAAATATAAATAAACACCCTTAATTACTTTAAATTACAATTTTCCATAATTGTCAGTATTGAATGTTATATAATTCACTTTCAATTTAAAAACTTTTTAATAGTATATTTGATCGATTCCGTTGGCGTTACAGTCAAAATACTGCTTCCAACCCCACATACTGTTCGGAAATTAGGTCTACATATACATAAAATAAACCAAATAAACATCACTTTCATATATAGGTTATGCGATAATGCACAATACGTCCCAAATTGGCCCTCGCCTGTAGGGAAAACCCTTAAAGATATGAATTTCGAACTCTGGTATTATTGGACTACTATTTCTAAACTAACCAACACTATATCTAAATAACAGTTAGAGTCCAATATTGCGTCGAACTATACCGAAAGATACTTTTTATTCATGCGGTGTTAGGTCTCCTTCATATAGGGTAAACATATCTTTACTCTTATATTCGTCCACCTTTCTATTCAAATAAAATTTTGAATTACCAGCCGCATTTTTGGGGCTATCAATATATGGCTTAGTTATATTCCTAATTCCGAAATTTTGAATAGTTTTTATTTATTTATTTATTTTATTTATTTATTTATTTTATTTATTTATTTTATTAATATTATTAAACGTTCCAAAAGTGCTTAAGGTTGATACCTGAATGTAATTATTTATTAATAGTGGAAATGTGGTATTTCATTGAAAAGAGAAAAATCTGTAAACATTAACGATCATCAAAAAATACAGGGTATTCCGTTAAGCAAATTTATGTTGGGGTTGTAAGTTAAAAAAAATGAAAAAAAAATCAAGGGGTTTTTTATATTTCGAATATCATACAACCTCAATATCCTGTGTAGTCCGAAGTTGTAAAAATGTCCAAATATGAGTACACTGTACTTAATAGGATGAGGGATTTTGATTTAAACCATTATAAAAATGATTCCATATTCACTTGTTAATTGGTTCTCATTTTAAATGGATAAGGGAATTTTTTTAGCTATTAATAACATTATTTGTTTAGTAAGTATTTACGGTCCCTTACAGTACATACAAAAATAAGAATCTTTCGTTGTTATGTCTTTTCTATTCTACTTTTTGGTATGAAATTTTGTACCTTGACAGAAGCAACAACCAAAAGATTAAACGGGTTCGAGATATGGCTCTACAGCAGTGAGAATCTCTATGATAAAGTGCTTTATAGATTGCAAATAGGGAGCGAAATAATTAATGCAATAAAAATAAAGAAGCTCGAATGCCTAGGTAATAAGGAAATATTACAAGGAAAAATCCCAAGAAAACGACTACCCGACAGACTTTTGAGAGCTACGACAAACAAAATTGTTATTTCCTGAATGATTGCTAACATCCGGTCTGTACTGAAAGAAATCTAATAACATTTTTATTCGCTGTTTAATAACGAATTTCTTGAAAATGTCGTTTATGTTATTGATAAAACATTCTCCATAAAAGGAGTTTAAGCTATAATACAGAAGAAAATAATACTTAATGATATTAATTTTCATATGAGGGACAGCAACCTTTGTCAAGCACTTATTTTAAATTAAACCGTTTTGTTGAAATTAATTAAAGTAAACCGGTCAGAACTATCATTTTTTGCTTCGATGGCGACCCGTCCATTCACAACAAAAAACGCATCGGTACACTTATTCCAGCACCAACATTAGTGGGTTTAGATAATAACTATAATCATTGTGAAACTGATCTACTACGCCCATGCATATGGAAAACCGGTCCTGCATTAATCAGAAATCACCGGGCGACCAGGAAGTCAGCTGAAGTAATATGGGGTTTTGTTACGCCAGACGAGGTCACTAGTCAAGAAAGGAACGCTCCAATTTCGATCTGGTCTCTTAAGAGATTCTCGATTTTAACATAAAATTAGTGCATTGGCATGCATTTTCAGTGTGTTTAGGGTATATTTTGCAGCATGTCTCTACATACGAGGTTCCCGTGGGAGCTACGGCTGGTGCTACAATTCAAAAATTATTAAATTTGCATTTAAAAAACTGGGATATTCTAAATAGCATTTTCGGATCAAACTTTCTGCAAAAATGGATTTTATTGTCATTTAGATGTGATTTTTCGAAAAATTTTAATGTTAGAATTACACGACTAGAACAAATTTGATATTTTATTACATACAGCAATTTCAAGAAGATAGATTAATTGAACAAAAAGTTAACGGCATTACATTTTAAAAAATAAATTTTAGGGTTCGTAGGAAAAATTTTGCACCTGGCAACGTTGCAAATATTATTTTTCGATCCGGCGCTACCGATAACCCCGTATGCCAAATTTCATAATTTTTTGCCGAGCCTTAATGAAATATTCAACTCATCCGGTTCTGTTGAGAAACTCGCTATGTCTTATTTCGAGTATAGGGAGGGCCAAACAAGTTATATTCGTACGGCCACACATCTTATTTGAACAGATTGGCAACATTTTATGTAGAATACAGAAATGTCAGAGGTTAAAAAATTAACATTTTCTTATGAAGCACCCTGTATATTTCTATACACATGCATAAAATTATGCTTTCAACCATGTGAATATTTGACCAAAAATAAATTTGAGCTGCATCAGGGACCTCCGCTTTGCTTAGAATTATTGAAGGTTCATTTAACAGACTTCTCGTCTTATAAGTGTAATTCCTAATAAATAATAAACACCAAACAAAATTTTAGAAAACAACTATTTTTATTATTACATTTTAATTATTTTGTTTCAGATACCACGGGCTAGATGTAAAATAAGGACAGTGATACTTATATGTATAGTAGTAATCCTTCTAGTACAAATTGTTTCATCTCAAAGAGAAAGAGGTAAGTAAATCAGCGTAACATTACACGAAATTGAAAGTGCAATCATATCCGTATAAAGGAATATAGATCAAAGTTTAAATTAGTCTAACAAGCGCACATTTTTCGAAGCTCGGTCTTTTACGTCTGACGAGTTAGGGACGCCAATTTATCTTGCTAAAATAAGTCTTGGCGGAAGTATCTCGTTAGTTATTGGTATTCAGCACAGAAACAGTTTAATGCTCTATACCCTGCAAGTTCTTTCCGACTGCGATTTCGAATGTTGTAGTTACTAATAATTAAAACACATTTAATTGGCAATATTAATAACATTAAATATTTTTTATGGAACTTCCTGATCCTTTGATCAAAATCATCAAAATTTAATCTATAACTATAGTCAGTTAAAATTTTGGTACCTTGACTGAGATGATGTGGCCTCAAGGATCCGTTGTTAATTTCTATTCTGCTTAAATTGTTCAATTATCTACACCACACTTCGTTAATTTGTTAAAAGGACGGCAGGACGGCTACCCTATTACATGCGTTAAAGTTGGTGTGGTTGATGTGGTATAACCAGTATATATATTCAAAATGGAATATGGGCCTTCCATTTCGCCATTTCGCTATGCTAGCCGAAAACAACATACAAAAAGCATACTCACTTGAAAAAATTGAAGCCTTTTGCCAAATCCCCTGATATTGGGAACCTGTTATCTCGTTCGTCATTACTTGTTATATGAAGGGTAACTAAGGTTGGGTCAAGTTAACCCTTGAAACTAAACCCTTAAAGGTGAAAAAATAAAAATATGCTTTTATTAAAATAATGTACAATAAAATGCTAGGATGACGGCAATACACACTTGTCTGAGATATTCTTTTACTTAAATCGAAGATAACATGACTACTGATGACTCTTTTATGAAATTTACTTATAAGAGTTTGATAAAAATGTCCTCCGATTGAACTCAAAATGTCAAGTTGCTGAAAAATTGCTATATGTGGTTATATTGTAAATTTTGAAATTTGATTTTGCGAATTATAAAAAATATTATTTGTCAGCAATGCAATTGTTATATTGTTTCAAAAACCAGTGAATGAAGTCAAAAAGAATTAGTTATATTAGAAGGCTGTTGGTTGTGATAATAAAGATTTGGTTAATTTCAATTAAATTAATTTGTTAAATGTTTCCTTCAATTATTTAAATCACCCTCTCGGAGTAAGTCTAAAATTTAAATGGAAAATATTATCTTGGATAGGACATATAGCAAATGATTTCAGAAATTATATATGGGGCTCTCATATCTACATGTTTGGTCAAACACATTATTTTAGATATTGGTAATACCGCAGTTTCTAGCAGACGGTTATTTTGCTTCACTGGCCGTTCTATTACCGATTTAATCAAGGTTATAGCACACTTTGTTAAAAGCTGAATAAAGGGCAACAAACATTGAACACTTACATTTCCACGAGCATCCTTGCACTAACAAATAATTAAAAAAGGTGTGCCTTTATCATTATTTTACTATCTTACATAGACAACCAGCAAAACAGAAAAATTGCAAGAGCTCAGGGCTAATGGGAATTCGTTGCCATGGCGTCGTAATCCAATTTTTCAATTGGTTACAGTGCTAAAGCAAGGGCATTCTTTAAGCACCTTCATCATTCACCGACGATAATTAAATCTTAAAAAAGTATACTCTCCACAGCTTCGAGGCGGAGGCTTCGAAGGCCGCTGAAATCCACATCCCAAGGCATATCATCCGCTTCGAACGACCAAGAAGTGGCTCCTAGCGTGACGAAGTTGAGGCGAGCGAGACCGGGAAACAAGAGAACGTCGGACAACGCAGTCAGCGGAACTTCCCCGAAAAAAGACCAGGATGGCCACAAGATTGTGTGTTACTACACCAATTGGTCGCAGTACAGAGTCAAAATCGGCAAGTTTACGCCGGAAGATATACTGCCCGACCTTTGCACCCATATCATTTTCGCTTTCGGTTGGCTGAAGAAGGGAAAGCTCTCGTCTTTTGAAAGCAACGACGAGACGAAAGACGGTAAAGTCGGATTGTACGAGAGAATCCTCAAGTTGAAGAAAGCGAACCCTAAACTTAAAACTCTGCTGGCTATTGGTAAATCAATTTGCTTGTATACAAGAGAGGTTTAATTATAGTGGCTTATAGGTGGATGGTCGTTTGGCACTCAAAAATTCAAGGACATGTCCAAAACGAGGTATACGAGACAAACGTTCATCTACAGTGCGATCCCGTTCCTTCGAGATCGCGGTTTCGACGGCTTGGACATGGATTGGGAGTATCCCAAAGGCGCAGAGGATAAGAAAAATTTCGTTTTGCTATTGAAAGGTAGAATGTCGCTATTATGCTGTAATTAAATAATTTTCTTTTAATACGCAACTTAAATTTATATAGCCACATAATTGCACTTTCACCGAAGTCGGTGTCTTTGAATAGCGTGTGAAAATACGGTGACGAATGATGGATCGGTGAGAAATCTGTCGGATAAATTGCTAATTTCTTTGGCTGTTAAGCAATCAATCTAATGATGGTGCGTATCGTTTAAATATTTTCTCTGGTTAGAACTGCGGGAGGCTTTCGAAGCTGAAGCACAGGAAGTTAAACAACCTAGGCTTCTTCTCTCAGCAGCGGTACCGGTAGGACCTGATAACATCAAGGGTGGTTACGATGTACCAGCTGTTGCGTCATACTTAGGTAATACACTTGTTCACATACTATTACATTGGTAATATCTTTGTTTTTTTCAAGATTTCATTAACTTAATGGCGTACGATTTCCACGGTAAATGGGAGAGGGAAACAGGCCACAACGCTCCACTTTACTCTCCCAGTTCAGACAGTCAGTACCAGAAGCAACTCAACGTAGATCACGCTGCTAATCTATGGGTAAAACTCGGAGCGCCTAAAGAGAAGATGATAATCGGTAAGTACTTTGTTTTCGTCGGGGGCACGACGACTTATGAAAGAATTTTGCACCATAGGTATGCCTACATATGGTAGATCGTTTGCGCTATCAAACGTTGACAAACATGGCGTTCATGCTCCATCTAGCGGAGGCGGAAAAGAAGGGACCTACACCAAGGAGTCTGGGTTTTTAGCGTATTATGAGGTAATTTTGTGTGGCGAAGACAATGAACATCTAACTCTAGCACCAAATTGATTTCCCAGATATGCGAGATGCTCCGAAATGGCGCCACTTATTACTGGGACGACGAAATGAAAGTACCTTATCTGGTTCACGGCGATCAGTGGGTAGGATTTGACGACGAAAAATCAATCAGGCACAAAATGAACTGGATCAAGGAGAACGGATTCGGTGGCGCCATGGTATGGACCGTTGATATGGATGACTTCACAGGTACTGTATGTGGAGGTGAAGTCAAGTATCCGCTTATAGGAGCCATGAGGTACGAAAGAAATGGTTGAGTTTTCAATCTAAATAAACGCGAACATTTTACACTTTAGAGAAGAACTAAGAGGTATATCTAGGGGTAAGGGTGCCAAAGACGTGGACTGGGCCGCTGTGGCGGGGCCCGAGGAATCAGAAGGGGAATTAGAAGAGGAAGTTGTCGAAAAACCAAAACCCATGAAGATAGCGGTGTCTGAGGTTCTGAAACGCGCGAGAAAGCCACTAACTAAAAAGAACAAGAACATTATAAATAAAAAAGGTACACACCTGTTTGTTTTTGATCACTTGGCCGTCGAGAAAACATATTCTAGAATAATTTTGAATTTAATACGAAAACCTGCCGCGTTCCGCCCAAAAGCGTTTTGGTCAAAATAAATCTCGCATAAATTTATTTCGCTTCAATGGGCTCGGTTTTCTCGCCATTAGTATGTATCAATTTTCTGCACGTTAAATTATTGGAATGTATATATTATACAATTATTTTTCAAATGCAAAAATATGCGCTGTCCATTAAAACAGTCCGGCGGCAATTTAGAAAATCTGCACCACAAGGTTAATAGGCTTTTATTCAAGCCTTTGACCTTTTATTGGTGTATGTCATAGTATTTTAAAAGGTATTATATAAGACTGTCGCGAAGGCTTAATAAAAGTAATTTTGCGATGGTTTAATGAAGGCATTTCATACAAATTCATGTAATCGTCTCCATTCAATCCTATGCGGAATATAATTTAAAACATTGAAGGACAAGAAAAAATAAACAAAATTGAAAGATATTTTAGATCAAATCTCTCCATAGAACTCGTGCTATAATAGTATGACAATTACGAAAAGACGTCCGTAAACTAAATTGCTTCCAATTCTTTTTTACAGTTACATTGCATTGGCATTGACTTTAACAATTCTTATATGCATACGTAGATTGGGGTGCGATACATGATTGACGTCTCTAACTCCAAACTAACAACGATAAGATGCGGAGTGGGTTTAAGATATATAATATGCAGCACTAATTTTAACGTTTTTGATGTGACTGATAGATAGAGAGAATTTTATTCCACTGAATTACAATACATAGTATGTTTACAGCACGTCAAAGTACAAAAGGGAAAAAAAAACAATTATATACATACACACATACACATACGATTAGATAAAATCTACGTAATCGCAGGTATAACAACGTAATACATAACATATAAAAACAAACAGTAATAAAAATGAAAAACAAAGGAAGATACCGAACACAACCAAACAGTAGCCATCAAACCATCAAGAATCGGATAATGAGGTATTATCTTCTATCTTCTGTTTGCATTCCTCTACAGAGTAACAACAATGCTCAAAAAAAGATTTTATTTTTCAAAATAAATAAGAACTAAAAGTTCAGATTTTCACGAAATTATATATTTTGACATGACAACTGTTTCGACAAACCGTGTCTTTATCAAATGTGATTGTTGTCGAAACAATTGTCATGTCAAAATATATAATTTCGTGAAAATCTGAACTTTAGTTCTTATTTATTGTGATAAATGGATTTTCATGAAGTAAAAGCCTCCTCAGTTTTGATTTTATTTTTGTTTAAAAATTTTTAAATAGCAAATTTGTGACTTGATTTGGAATTAAGTTGAATAACTTAATTCAAGAGAATTTATCATGATTTTAGTGTATTTAAATTTTCTTAGTTCGATGCGCATTTGAATGTGGGGGAATTTATGATTATCTGAGTGAAGTGAAAACATGTTTTTTGAGTTATGAATTTCCAATACCGTGTGATACATGAATACCGATGGCAGTGGCATAACCTGAAGATTCTGAATCAGCTTTATTGCCTATGAAAAATTTTTATGCAATCTATTGCGTTTCCCCACAGGATAACAGCATATGCCAAATTGAATGAAAAAGAGCATAGCAGCTCGAGACTAGATAATCCTTTCATATCAAAATTTTCAATCGTGGTAACAAAAAGTTTACACTTGAGAGGCGCTGTTCTAAATAAGCAATATGGTCCCTCCAAGAGAACGTATCATCCAGGACCACATCCAACAACTTCGCAGATTTTCCTTCCGAAACGTTTGCATTTGTTGAAAACACTAACGAGTGCGTTTCAGTTTTAGGCGATTCGCTGTAAACCACATATTGGCATGTTCTTTCCCCAACTGTGTTTCCCTTTAAGAGTATCTACATTCGTGTTTGATGTTTTAAATATAGAGTCATCTACAAAATTAACCGCAGCCATAGGGTCCCTATGGCCAAAGAAATAATTAATATATACTAAAAACTATAGTGGACCCATAACGGAACCCTGTGGAACTCCGTGTATTACATTTCGTAAACTTGACATTTTATTACTGCAAAAAATTGCTTGCTTTCTATTAGGGAGATAAGAAGATAATATCTCTAGCGCAATGGATTCAAAACCGTAAAATTCCAGTTTTTCCATTAAAATTGAATGACTGACAAAGGCCTTGGAGAGGTGACACAGCATTAAAGTGCTATACCACCACCCTCAAAGCCCTCAACTATGCCAGCGACTATACGTAATAGTGCTTAGATGGTGGAACGACCCTTTCTAAATGCAATCTGGTTTGGATTTATCAAATTATTTGACTCAAAATAATAAGATAATTGAGAATACATAATCTTTTCTAAAACTTTGGAAATTATCAGGATAATTGATACGGGTCGGTAATTATTAGAATCAGACATTTCACCTTTCTTTTAAATTGGCACAACTTTAGATACTTTCAAAACCTCCGGATATATTCCAGTGAGGAAACTCCTATTTATTATGTCAGTTAATCGTAAAACTATTACATTGCAGCATTCTTTAATAATCCTACTGTTCAAACAATAAAAGTCTAAAGCTTTTGATCTGGCCGACCTCAAGTGAAGAAACCAGGGAAAGTTTGAGAGAGCATTTAGGTTTAATCAAGTCATGCATCAACTGAGATAGTCTAGCAGGAGTTTCATCCAAAGTTTCTAATATTTTATGCGCTTCCGTAGTAAAAAAATATGTTGAGTTCATCAGGGGATAAATCTTTCATAAAATTATATTTATTAATTGCCAAGAATTTTTGCTCTTATTTTTGGATAATTGTAAATAGTTTGTACAAGCTAGTTTTATTGTATTTTTTATTTTATTTTATTGTATTTTTTATATATTGAAAAGTCATTTGGATTCTTTGTAATTTACGCTATACTACGAATTTTTGATCATTTATCTCGCATGATTCTGAGATCGTCATTGAACCAGAGAACTGGGGATTTAGGTTTGAATGCCTTTCTAATCAAAGGAAAACACAGCAACATCTGTTCGCCCGATATTCTTCACCAAGGCAAATGTCAAATCAATAACGTTTGTGCCAATAGTATGATAATTTAGTGTAATTGATGATTGAAGAGACCTATTAAATTTTTCATACTTTTTCCATAGTGATTTCGACACTCTATTTTATTATTCGAGAATTTCAAATTATGATTATTAGACTCAATATGAATAGTCCAAGCCCTATGATCCGACAAATAAGGATTGATTACCTTAGTGTAAAACTGATGGTTGTCTATGTTGCTAATAACATTATCTAAGCAGTTAGCGCAGCCATTGGCCACTCTGGTGGATTCCCGAATATCCAAACTGGCGAATTAGCGATAGAAAATCTTCCAATCTAGAGCTGGAAATATTAAAATATTCCAAACAACCACCTATATACCTCTTCGATAAATATTATTGATTACACTTTCTAAACTATGCATACATTTTATAAAATTACCACTCAGAGAACGATAAACTATCAATATGGATAGTTTCATAGTTGGTATATAGATGGCGCAAAATTCACAGTCAATTTCAGAGCAAAATTGTTTGACATCCAAAATTTTATAATTTAAGTTAATATTATTTTTTACAAATATACCCACTCTTCCTCTCTGGTGATCAGACCTACAGAAACTAGTTAAACATTTGTTGTTCAGACAAACAGATAAAGTCAAAAAGAGTAACATAAAGCTGTCAAGTACGCCATAAAACACTTGAATATTGTAGTGCAAAATACTGTACACTTTATTGAGAGCCTCGTCAAAAGGATTACAGAAGACTAATTCCTCGCCGCTGGTCTTTTCCGTAGATGAAGAAACTTATTTATTTTCGTGCCTGCCGCCCAGTATTTCGGATTCACAAAACTGTCCGTATTTTCTTGTGAATTTACCAATTTTAAATGAAGAGTATCCTCCAGGTCTTCTGGAGTCAAGTTCTTGGCAGGTAACCTCGGGGAATCTGGATTTTAAGAATGACATCATAGTTACCTCTTACTTACTTAACCTTACCTTAACTTACAGAGTCCATAAAAATAGTGATTATTTGTAGAAAGACGCTTTCAATCTCAGTTTTACTTTGCTTATTATCAAAAATTAAAACAATTGAAATTGCACAAAAGCTCGTAAAGACATAAAAAATCTTTAGGGTTAAGTGGTTAGTTTAGGTAACGTTTTCTATAATGGCGGAATGATTATCTTCTTTGAACTGTAGAAATTAATTAATTAATACTTTCTTCCAGTGAGACAACCTCAAGTGTTCTGTTACATGACGAGCTGGTCTCAGAAACGACCGGGTGCTGGCAAATTCACCCCGGAAGATGTGAACCCTGCATTATGTACCCACGTCATTTACGCATTCGCCACGCTGGTTGATCACAAATTGGCAGAGGCTGCGGACACTGATCCAGAAATGTACGAAAGAGTGATCGCATTGAGAGACAAAAATCCCGAGTTGAAGGTAAGAATTTTTTTTTAAATTTAAATATTATATAGAAAAATGTATCAAAATTTTATTGTACCAATTAACAAAAACAGAAAATTGAAAAACCGGTAGCATATAACTTCAATAGCGGTAAATTCCAATTTAAATTCATATAGATTAGACGATGAAATCTTTGTGTGCTGATTCACCTAATTTCGTGCGTCAATCTTTGAAAATTGTAACGTGTGGTATTCGAATTAGCCCGCAATGCCTAGAACTAAGACTGTGGCTTTTATACAATCTATGGTTAAGCCTTCATTGTAACAAAGGAATGCTGATAATACTGAAAACCGCACAGTAGAATACAACATACATTTTGTTGGATATTGCAATTTTTCTCATGTCATCTTTTGAAGCTATACAAAATTGACAGGCTGTAATGCAAAATAAAATACTATTAAAAAAAAATTAGAATTGTGTTGGTTTATTGAAATAGTGTTCCATTTTTAGAAGTGGTAAGGTAAGAATTATCAGTGATCTATAAACCCATGCAAAGTTTTAAGAAGCTATTTATTGTCATGTAACATGCAGTATATACCTTAAACATTAGTTCAACAAGGAACCATAAACATTTAATATTTTCCAAGAACATTAACTCAATATAACTAACTCTTCGATAACGCAGGTCTACAAAATTAAACTTTTTGACAGATATTTTTACTTTGAAAACTGATTTTATATAATTTTGGTAGGGTGATTTCAAAAATTCTATGCATTTCTTTTTGCGTAACTTTTTTTTATTGTAAATATTATTGAAAAAAAAAGATATTTCTAAATTAATTTATTTTTTATTCAGCAAAATGGTTGAATCCTAGTTTAAAAAAGTGAAAAAAATTACGTAGACTTTTTTGAGTGAAATCTTCGTCTTTTTGTTAGAAAGCTGCGATATTCGGCTGCGTGTTTTTAAGGGCATATCCCGTTTTAACATCCAGCAGTAGTCTGCCATCATCGTTATGCTCCATCTGCCATGATATCGCCGTTCCTCTTCTTTAATGTCCTGGTGAATCCTCTCTCCCTGTTCTTCGCTAACTGCCTTAAGATTTTCAGGAAAATAGTTCAAGTGTGAAAACAAGAAACGCACTTTCAAACTCAAAGTTTTGTAACATATTTTGAACAATACTTTCGTGGATTTCATCCTTACAGTTCCCAAGATGCTTTTCAATTACTTCTTCAAATGAAACTCAGACGTTTTCCTCGACACTGATCATTGTTTGTGAAATTTCTAGTCTTTGCATAATGTTCTTATCTGCGGGCCAACAAAAATACCTTCTTTTATCTTGGCATCAGATATGGCTTGAAATTTCTGGCACAAATATTTGTGTTCATTTTTGACTAGGGCTAACAAACTGCTTCATCACACACACACTTCGAGCTCTCTGAAATCTATTGTGCAATCTCTGTCATCTGGGTCGGAATTAGATTCCTCTGATTCTGATGATATAACGTTTTCTTGTTCTTTTGGGGCGATAGGTATCGGTACATCTGAGGTTCCGTGAGGGACTGGTCGAATAGCAGAGTCAAGATTGAAACGGAACAAATAGTGTGAGGAGCCCAGGACTTGTCTTGGTCGCTAAATTTAAAACCAAAATAAGCGTGGTATACATTTTTCCCAAAATAAGTTATAGTTTGACTTTGCTTCACTACTACATAACTACCACAGATAAAACAAAAGTTGTTTTGATTGTTCACAAGACAACAGCTGTAAACAAAATAGCACGACGACCAACACCAACTGCGCATAATCAGGTTGCAATGCTGTGTCGACACTTCTGTGCCAACTCCGTTGCTTTGCAGAGAAATCTAATATTATTCAGTGTTGCCAAATCAGATTTAATTTCATAAAAATCACACCTAATGTGGAACAAACATATTCATGTCATAGGTATGTATATTAATAAAATAACATTTTTAAGATATAGTGCGCTATAAAAAAATTACATGATAGAGCAAAAATATGCAGTTTTTTTGGAAAAATGGGCCGCAAAATTATACAAATAAGCAAACAGCTTTCAAACATCTAAATCACTGTAGACCTGTGTAACTAAAAAATGACAATATTGTTTCATATTTTAACATTTATTATATTCTGAGGTCATAGGACAAGTCTAACCAATTTAAAACTCCTACAGGCATTTCAGCAATATTACTTTTTAACTAAATTTGTTTTTCCAAATAGCAGAAAATTGGAGCAAATCTTATGTAATAAGGGTATGATGGTCTATTACGTATTACATGTTTTTCGATTTATGGTACCTTTAACTAACAAAGAACTAGTTACATTAAAAAAATAACTTTCAAAAAGCCTACTTGGGCTTGGACACTAAAAAAACTTTTGGCAATATTTTTCACATTTTTCCAAAAAAAAAAAAAATTAGCCCCATTTCCAGCATTTAAGTACTCAATGCAGTGTTCTCCATGGAAATAAGGTACCATCTATATTATTTCCTTACATTTCAATCTCGGGGTTACTTTATTGCACTTACGGTTTAACCCAAGGTGTAATTAAAATTGTTGGTTAGCTATGCATTGCAATTATTTATTCAGGAAACTCAGAAAAAAAGTTGATTCTTGTCACTTATAAATAATGGAAATTTTCACGAAAACATCCAAAAACTGAAAATTGTTTCTCAGTGTGATCCAAGATGTTTTTTAAGTCAGGATAGGGCTTGCGCTCTTATTAAAATAAAAAGATAAAAAATTCTAGTCCAATTTGACGTATACACAGTGATCAAGGACAGATAATGCATATTCTTTACAGGCAAATGATTCGAGCATCTGACTGCTGTAACTATAGCCTGATCCTGATTTGTGAAAAGTCATTTAAATGAAAGCATTGCAGCATCACTAAACACTATTTTCTTAACAACATAGCTACCAACAGCGTTATCCTGACCTTCAATTCTTCAAAACTTCTTAATAAGAGAATAAGGAAAAAACAAAACCTACATTAAATTTAGTGATTTTGCCATATATTTTTGATCCTGTTAACAGTTAATCGATATATATTTTTCTAGATTCTTCTTGCTATTGGTGGATGGGCATTCGGCTCTATGCCGTTTAAGGAATTGACCGGCAATGTTTTCCGAATGAATCAGTTCGTCTACGATGCCATCGATTTCCTGAGAGAGTATAAATTTAATGGACTGGACGTCGACTGGGAGTATCCCAGAGGTAAATTCATTACGCCATAATCGCCCTAGCTGGACATCGGTCGCTTTTAGGTGCCGACGATAGAGCCGCTTACGTCAACCTGCTGAAAGAGCTTAGGGTTGCATTCGAAGGGGAAGCAAAATCCAGCGAGCAACCCCGATTGCTGTTAACTGCCGCCGTGCCGGCTTCGTTTGAAGCTATAGCTGCTGGTTACGACGTGCCCGAAATTGCCAAGTATTTGGACTTTATCAATGTTATGACTTACGATTTCCACGGCCAGTGGGAGAGAACCGTTGGTCATAATTCTCCCTTGTTCCCTCTGGAGAGTGCGACAAGTTACCAAAAGAAATTGACAGTGGTATGGTTATCGTGATCTTAGTCATCGAATTTATTTGTAAATAACTTCCTTTCCATTGAAATATTTAGTGATAAATTGACGACCTGATTTAGAAAATTGTATTTTTGTCTTTTTGACTCATTTTATACGTGACTTTTGCAATTAATTGATAATCAATTGGGTTTTTCATTAGATTCTGCTATTTTGTGCGTTGGTGGGTATTTTTCCACGTATTTGAGTGTTTTTTAAGTCTACAAATATTATATAAGTATTAAGTGAAACTGTTAATTAGTTGGTGCAAGTAGCTTATTGTTTGGTTAATCATATATTTTAGGCAGATCTCCTTAATATTTGTAGCTGCTTTTAGGGAAGTAAGTTTTAATCAATTATTAATGGTATACTCGTTTTTCTGTAATATGTTGATGAGCGCCACCACTACCTGCAGCAGCTGACACTCAAAGTTCTTAAAGCACCTGCAAGTTGTCATTAGTCGGTACGATTTGTGAAGACATAGTCGGCAATAAAATGCCAAACAGAGTAAAATAGAACCATTATTCCAGTTTGTACTTCAACAGATGTTGTTCCGCCCTAAATGTCTATCTGTTCAATGCAGGACAGCCGTCACTAACAATCACGATTATATTACCGGCGAGTAAGAGAGAAGGAGTCAGTTACACTTGGCATTTGTTAATTTAACTAGTTCGCCCATATAGATTCGTGGATTTTCTATGTAATAGTAGATCAGGGGGTTCTTTAATGCGAATATTTCAGTAGGTGAATCTACATGAAAAAAATATGATGATTTGTTAAATAAACTATAGTCCGAAGACTCTGCCCATGCAATAAAAATTAAAACAATACAAAAAAAATCGTAAGTACACCATATTTGGTATTTAACGATGAAATATCTTTATCATCAGAGCCAAAATTAGAACTGCTACAACCAGAAAATGATCTTTCGTCGAAATTAATAACAAGTGGTACTACCGTTACATCAAGCGTATTCTCTTTCTCCCAGCATTTCTTTATTATATCCTCTGCACATGTTATACAACAGGTACAATTTTCTTTGGTAACTGTCTGGAGAGCTGCTTTCCACACAGATACTATTGCAGTATCTTCGTGCCTTGCCTCACTTGCGATATTTTTATTAAAAAATATTTTGTACTGAGGCCATACCAATTCTATGGCATTAAATATACAAGGAGGCAATCTTAAAACGTGATGACCTATTTCAGTAATTATTTCGTTTGTAGCATACTGCAAGTTTTTTTTTCTAATTTTTGAAAGTTTTTAACAACTGACATTTTAGACGACACTACTGTAACTATCCTGTAATTTGTGCTATCTGTGTCGAGAGTCTACGGCAGGGGGGCGTAAAAGACAAAGGTAGAACACTGGCAGATAAATGGGTGGATTGTGCCATTCTTAGTATACGGGTGGAAGCAGGTAAAATCCTGAAGCTCCTTTTCTCTTGCTTTTATGATCGACTATGCCATCGCAAATCGTACCGACTATATATGACTTACCTAAAAGCAACTACGAATAGCACGAACTAATTAACAGTTTCACTTAATACTTATATAATTGTAGACTTTAAAAACACTCGCACGTGGGAAAATACCCAAAAATGAATGAAATAGCAGAAACTAATGAAAAACCCAATTGATTATAGATAAATTCAAAAAGTCAGTTATAAAATGAGACAAATAGACAATTTTCTAAATTATGGCTTGACCTGTTTTATTGTTAAAAAAAACAAGAGATTTACATCACAACGGACAAACTACAACAAGAATTCCTTAAAAATTAAAGGTAGGTCCAAATATGTAATTCAATTGTGAAATTTGTTTATATTCTAAAGTTTTACAAAAAAAGTGCATCAAAATATTTTTATTGACCAATCCGATATGAAATAAATATACAAAGAGAAACTTTTTAAGTCAAAATTATTTGAATATAGTCGTTTCTCGATAGCATTTTTCCATATCCTTACATCATGTGCCATCAGGCAACTTATAATCCGGCGTGAGAAAAACGTAAGGGAGCATTAGCATATCCTGAAATATATTTTTTATTTTTTATTATTTATCACAATTTAACAATGGTAAATGTTTGCATTTCTAAAGCACTCCAATGTTTTTAAAAATTATATTTAGGGTTATAATAGGCAACGGAGTACACTAAACAATTATAATTCAAAATATTACAAGAAATCTGTTTGAGTATTAGGTTTTTTTAAGCAAACAGTCCAACGAAATTAAATGTTACAAAATATAATACAAATCTGTTTCTCATAGGGAAAGGTATTACACAAACGTAACACAGTATATAAAATTTGAATGTAATAAAGGGACTAATAGAGCCAGTACGCATAGATATACAAAATATATATATACAATTTCTGTGTTAACGGATTCAGAATTTGCATAGTATTTTAGCAGAAATAGAGCCCAAATCAAACCAGACATGTCCTTATAAATTAATTTCGAAGAAAACATTTTGGATATATCAAATGGATATTGCCGATTTTGAACGAGCCTTATTTAAATACTCTATAAAATCTTAAAAAGATATTGTAACTCTGAAGTAAAAGGTGGAATTGAATGGTCGCTCCCCATATATACTTTAAAGTTGTAGTCGTAATGATCTTATAAGCTTGCCTCATGTGTAATTTAAAATATTTTTATTCTATAGCAAGTGTTAGGCTTGAAGAGTCAGAATTCCAAAATAACACCCTAGTCTAGAGGTCTAGAGGACTCCTGAAGAGTCAAATAAAACTATTTTATCTTCGCTGTTTTTAGTAGTTAATAATAATTTTCAGGATTACTCTGCGAGAGAGTGGGTAAAGCAAGGTGCACCAAAAGAAAAGCTAATGATAGGCATGCCCACATACGGGCGCAGCTTTGAGTTGGTCAACACCACCCAATTCGACATCGGAGCGCCGGCTAGCGGGGGAGGAAAACCAGGAAAATACACCTCCGAAGCTGGATTCATGAGTTTCTACGAAATATGCGAATTCTTGCACGAAGACAACGTTACGTTGGTATGGGATAACGAGCAGCAAGTACCTTTCGCGTACAATAATGACCAATGGGTTGGATTCGACGACGAAAGAAGTTTGAAAACCAAAGTAAAATTTTCAGGAGTTTGATTGGACTTTGAGTAACATTCGTGTTTATTTCAGATGGCGTGGCTGAAAGAAGAAGGCTTCGGAGGCATAATGATTTGGTCGATTGATATGGACGATTTTAGAGGATCGTGCGGTGGCAGTAAATATCCTCTGATAAACGCTATGAGGCAGGAACTAGAAGGATACAAAGTTAAATTAGAATACGAAGGTCCATACGAAACCAGCGTGTCTTCAGGGCAATATACAACCAAAGATCGTAATTATTTTCGAGCTTTCGATTTGTCTTTAATCTAATTTTACCCGTACTTTATAGCAAATGAAATCACTTGTGATGAGCAAGACGGCCATATCAGTTACCATCCGGACAAGTCTGACTGCAAAATGTACTACATGTGCGAGGGAGAAAGAAAGCACCACATGCCATGTCCGGCCAATTTGGTATTCAATCCGGATCAGAACGTCTGTGATTGGCCGGAGAATGTTGAAAGTTGCTCGCAGTTTACACCGGCGCCACCGGCAAGCAGATAAAATAAACATGGAAACGTTTGATGGGCTTTTGCAATAGGTTGTGAAGTGTTTTCACGTGGTACGATATAACATGTATTACTGAAAAATGTACCTAACGATTAGTGCCTGTAGATTTTATGTTATTGTTTTTTCTTTTGTTTTATAGCGGTTACGCTTTCCGATTTTATAGTATAAATTGAGAGTTCGTCGTCGTTTTATTGTATTTTAAACTTTAACGAAGATTCGGCTCGGATGCCGAATAATTTTGAGGATCTACAGAGCATAAAGGGATGACAATACACTGCCATATTAAAGACGTTTTTCCATATTTTCTTTCTCCCGCTATCGACATGTTTACGTTTTCACTTACTAATCGCTCGAGTTGTTTTAGTTACGTCATGTAAATGTGGTATTATATTTATAAATATTATTTATAAACGCTAAAATATATTTTTTTAATTATTTCTATGTTTATAAGTTTGTATATTTAATATAAATATAGATTTTTGTTGTAAATATAGATATATAAACACAAAAGTTGCTTTTCCTTTCTAAACTACAAATAGTTCCACATGAAATAAAAAATATTACAACTATACTTTTTCTAGGTTTATGGGTCTTTGGGTACAATTTTTGTAAAGTAGCTCGAAAGCATTCTTTCGACTATGATGAATGAATGAATATTTGGCTTTTACCCGAGACTGAAACGCATGTTTAATAACCAAATGATTTTTTTTTGCAAAATATAATTATAACTAATATAATCTATCTAGATCTAAACTAACCAACCCACACGTGGTTACATAATTTATCAAAAAATTAAAAGTTAAGGTATATCTATGACGAGCTGCTAAAAGGGGAAAAATGTACACAACTTGTGCTTCACAGCAATTGACAATATATAAAATAGTGCTTCAAGATAGCTTGGATCATTGTGGACATGCATCCAGTGTGGAAAATGATAAATATACTGGGTGTTCTTTCAAGGTGTCATATCAGCGCCCTAAAAACGTTTTCTTAAACTTCCAAGAAGAAAATATCTTTGTGAACTTTGCTAAATATATTTTTCCTTCCAAGTGCTGTGCTCTTCAAAATTTCTCTTGATGTACAGAAATAATTAATTTCTTAGATAATATAAAACAAAAAACCCTACTGAAAATTTTTCGTCCGTGAATTTGTAAAGTTATATATTTATTAAATAGGTTAATAAAGTTTTTTCTTAAAATTAGATCAAAAAGGCCCTTCACCAATTAGGAACACCCTGTATATAGAAAAAAGTTAATGCCGGATGGGGAACACTCTTACCTACCTACTTAATAGACGAAAACCTGCTGGCGATAAAAGAGCAAGATTGCTAGCCCTGCATTAATAGTAATACAAATAAATAACAAACTCGTTTGATTTTGGTTTTGGATCTAAAGGGTATTCCAATAATGTTGGTAAAAAATAAAATATAGGTTTCATAAAATACCTTCTGTTACTGCTGAACACATGTCTTGAGGTATAGCATGAATTATTTTCCTAATTTCTTCTTTTAATTGTTGAATTGTTTGCATACTATTTTCGCAGGCTATGCTTCTTACATAGCCCTACAAAAAATAATTTAGCGGCGGCAAGTCGCATGACCTTGGTGACCAATTTACGTCCCTATTCCTGGAGATAAATCTCCAAAATGTGCACGCCATAAATTTACTGTTTCACCTTCCTGAATATTTGCATATTCTCTATATCCATGTCCATTATTTCATCCAATAAAAAACATCAATCCTTGTTCGGTATCGTTCTCCATTCATCTTCATCTTCAAAAAAGTACGGCCTAATGATACTCTCAGCCCAAAACCCGCTCCAAACTGTGACACGTGTAATAAATTTAAAACAATTTTGGTTTATTGCTCTTTTGGCGCCCAACGTGCATGGAGATTTCGTAGATTTTTCTAGGATTTTTATTGCCCCAGGTACGACAATTTTGACATTTTTCATTACTTTTCTATTCTTTGCGGTGTCACTGTACATCGCGTAGCCCTTTTCACTGTGTGATATTTCGTAGCCAATACATTTTTTTCCTTCCGATCTCTCTCTTGCCTTCGATCGGCAGATGCAAGAATTAGTATTTCGTTGTTTCGCATTATATATGCCATTTATGCCGTTTTACTCTTCTTAACAAATTCAAACAGTTCATGTTGTTTGGGCACGTGTCAGGATTTCTTCGTTTGTTAGCTGGCGCGGCTCAAGGTATTTTTAGGATTCTGCGTGCAGCCACATAGCATTTAATGAATCTAAGTCTTAGGTTAAGGTCAAAATCGAAACAGGTAAGCACCTTTTGAAACTTCCAGAATGCTTGTTGAGCCTGTTCAATGCGACATTTTATTTCCTTGTCTGATGTTCATTCTTCGCAAAGCCAGATGCCCCTTATCTACTCTTTCCTTGGACTTTGCTTAAAATGTTATGGTGGAGTTTTCAAACATATTTAGGTTTCTAGAGATAATCATAAATTTTGTTTTTTTGGTCTTGATATTCATAGTTTTGCTCTGTTGTCCTATCTGGTTGACTTGTTGTTGTATGTTATCAGCAATTAAGACCGCATCGTCAGCATAGCGGATATTTTGTTGATGATACGTAACCGTTTAAGTAAACATGAGCCTCATTAATGAAAATGATTTTATTGCAAAATTTATTGGTCATTTGCCTTCATCTGTAGGATCCAATTGGAAAATGCACGACGTTGCCCATGCCCTCTTCTTTCTACATCAACATAAGTGGCGAATCAATTTTCTTCGGCATTACCTTCAAGTCAAAGGAAAATTATTGTAAAAGTTGGTAGGTAAAAGGTATATATTACTAGCAACATTAAGTTCCCCGTATGTATAACATTTAGTCTAGTAGACATTTTAATCGTGCTATCGGATTTGAGTATTCCCAAATGAAGTTTATTTTTAACCGCAAATGGAAGAGTGTATGTACACTTTACATTTTAATTGTTTTGGTTAGTTTCTCATTCTTTGGAATTTCGCTGGAATTCTTACCGTAATTTTTTGGAAGTCGTCCGGAATTTCTGAATACATTTGCATGCACCATCGACAGACAAGCTATGCAATCAGGCAAAACAACATCTAAGTTAGTTTCGCATTGTCAGAAGGTATTGAACGAGATAGCATGTCAGAGTAAAGCCATGCCATCATGGGATACCAAGACAGAAAGGCGATCAAGGGAACGAAAGCGCCGACAAAGATTTTCCGAGGAGCACGATTTAACCAGAAGACTTTCTTGAGGTGTCTTAACCTGTTGCAAAATCAGGAATCAGAAATAGATGAAAAAATAATCCAGGCAATGATGGAGAGCGAGACTGGACAAATATTGTAACAATATGTAAAATATGTAAGAATAATGGTATTAATAGGTTGCTGCTGACTTTAGAGACATCTAAGCCTAAGGAGAGCGGAAGAAAATACCGAATGCAGATTCTGAAAAGAAGAAGAGTAAACTACCCCACACGTCGTATGCCAACGAGAGTGCGTTTTTATAATTAGGGGAGACATCAAACTGCACCAATGAGCCACTACCGGTGCTATGAAACCTAAGTAAGTCTATGGAGGGAGTCATAACAGATCCCTTATGTCTCAGTAACAAACAGGCAAAATCTTACTCTCCCAAACTATCAATATATCAATCCGTCATTGGGTAGTGCTATGGAGCAAGTCATGATATTTTGGATGACTGTAACTATCATACATCGCAACGAGTGGAATCGTTTTGTAATTTTACGTTACTCCTTGTAGAGAAATGCTGCTCACATGAATAAAAATTAAATTTAAAAAACTGCCAAAACTAACTTTTGCAAAACTTTATTTTGCAAACGAAATTATTTTATCGTAAAACGGATGAAAATGTTGCAAAGTCGCGTTTCTAAGAACTTTCCTTGTTGTGTTGCGCTTTGCAAGCACGCTGCGTCGACAAAGCCGCCTTTGTGGATGGTACTACAAAAACCCGGTATGCGCTAAGTGGATGTTTTCGCGGTATTTTATTCCTGTCCTGGTCAACGGTGCAGTATGTGAACGGTCAACACTGTTTGCTCGCGACTAGTAAACTCTTAACCTAGAGACAGGCATGGACTTTTAGAGAAATGATAATTTGATTGGTATTTACTTTGGCAGCGAAAATACAAATTCACACCAAATGACTTCTGAAAGGTATTTATTTCGTATAAAAATCATGCTTGATAACTGTCAACATTAAAATTTTCTCCAGTTATATAATAATAATATTTACTTTTTGCATCTGCAAACTATATTAGTATGACATTAAAACGGTGCCTTGGAGGGACTAAAATATCAATGTTCAACCCCTTAGATCAGTACATTTTAGTTTTGTTTAATCAGTTAACTACCTAATCACTTAATTAACTTAATTAAGATGTCCTAAAAATGTACATATAGACAAGAAGAAACTAAGTTTCTCAACAATTTTTGTAGATCTAATTTAAACTTTTCCTGTAAACAAATATTTCTTAAAGATTATTTGAGAGACCATTAAACAATTTGGTACACATATAATGAAGTGATTCTTCGACTAATGCAAGTGTACATGTACGCTTCCAAACCTAGATTTGCAACTTTCTTGATTTCATAATTATTCAAATTACCCTTTTGGTATAGTAAAAATAACTCGTATCAAGCTATTTTTCTAAGTGACTCTTGGTTCATATATCTGAAAATAACTAGAATGTAAATAGTGAGTTAAAGATTTTTTTTATAAAATTGTTGATGGCATCATCAATCAAGATGTTTATTGATACAAATGCCTAAAAATTTTGGTTCCCCTATTTTCTCCATGTGTAATGATCTCATTTCGTTCGACTATTTTGTCCTAAACACAAGTATGTTGCTCTTATTTTTTATTTAGAATTGATTTATTCTTTTTAAACTATTCTGTGATAATTGTAGAGAATTTTCGAGGCTTCTAAATTAAAACTGGTAGTGTTTAGGTTTAAATCGTTAATAAGCAACAACAATAGGGCTGGCCTTTATATTATATATGTTGCTTCCTATTTTGGGATGTTTTTAATGAACTCGTATTTTAATTAACTCGTATCTATAGAACGATTCGCTACTAAAATTGACGAGCTGCTCTAAAATCATGTCAATGCAGACAAGATTAAAGGAAACAGAAGTCGAACGATAAAACGTACAATAGATGCAATAAACAAATTGGTTCCTAACAAGTTGTTTGTTTTTTGTTTCAGTCCCTGCGATTCACTTTCTGAGTTAAATTATTGGAAAAATGTCTAACCATTTAAAACCATTTTTAAGAATACCAAAACTATCCAATTTATTAAGTAAAATATTAATATTTATAACGTCAAAAGCTTGCTGCAAATCGAAGGATATTGCGATTTTCTTCTAAATTGATAAGATGTTTGTAGATTGAAAATATCTCCATTTTCGCAGAGTAGGAATATTATTCAAGCAAAATGGGAAACTGTTAGTGCGAATAAAGTCATATACAAGCTACATTAATGACTCACTGATAAAAATAAATGAATATTTTACCGCAGTAATTATTAAAGTAGCAAAAACATAAATGTCATCGTAATTGTAACATTTTCATTTTTTAGTGTTTGCTTAATTAATAGAAAGTATTTTATTCATGGCAAGTCTCTCGAAAATCCGAAAAATAAAATGATAATGCACTTTTTGAAAAATACCCCATCCATGGTCTACTTTTTTAGAACAATATTAATTTAAACTTGGTACGCATTATTGGTTCAATGGCTTGAGAATGACGACAGATGTAGACCAAAACAGTCGAAGCTCCCGTTCGGATAAACTGAAATATGAATGCCAATCAGTAACTGATATATTTGCCTCGGAATTCTAGGACTTTAATATGGCTATCGTAAAACAACTAATTAGTAAACCAGTTCCGACTTTGTTGTAACGGAGATATAGCGAACTCATCTAATTAGAATAAAATCCAAACATTTTTATATCCCATGGAGTCAACAAACTGTGCCGAGCAGCCATGTTCCGCTCTATAGTTTTATTTTTGAAAGAGCATCATTGATGGTACGAGGTAAAACACTGGGTGTTTTGATAAAAAAAAGGTTTGCTTTTTTTACCAATCCAATGAAATTGGCACTAACTAGGGACAAAGTTTTCTCTAGTAAGTATTAGTTAAAATAATAAATCGTTCCATTGGATATAAACAATTAGAATAATAAGCGATTGTGCCTGCTTTAAATCAACAACTTAGCAAGCAACAAGGCTAACAAGCAGCCCACTTGACATCAAACAAACAATGAGTAAGTACTCTTGACTTCATTAACGTCAAGATTTAGATGTCTCTTGGACAATTTGAATAAGATATACATGAAGGAGGTGTGATATTCGCTGTGCCTTCTGTATTATAACATTACAAATGAAAATGGCAAGCGGTTATTAAAATGGAATTGAATTGAAATATCTTAAGGCGTTTTTAGGTTTTCCAAATTTGGAAATTTAGGTATAATGATAATTTTTGAAGTATTTTTGGCGTTAGCATTGTTTAAAGGGGCACTCAAGGGCAAACTAGCCTGGTCGATCAGTCGTATTATTAAGTAAAAATATTTCCTCTTTCCTATGCAAACGCGTTTTACCTGCGAGCAAAATTACTAAAAGCTATATTTGGAAATAAATTAAAAATCATTTTAGCAACCTATTCCAGCAAGTTGAACATTAAGGCGGGTTTGAATTTATCAACACAAAACGGAAAAGGCCAAGTCTGACAGAGCTCCATGGCATTAAATAAGAAATGGTACAGAAATTTACTTGATCACTTATATAGAAAAAGCTGGCAAAGACCGCCAGAAACGTGTTAAGAAATGTAATCAGATTAACAATCAGTTTGGGCATTTGCCCACGTGTGTTATTTGTATGACTGCGAATGTTTCGTGTCATGCACAATTTTAGTTTTCAAACGCCAAACAGTAACTAGTAGTTTAACAACCTGCTTTATATCACACTTGGACTTGATGCTGGAAAGACAAGTTGATATCTTAGTTGACATTTCTCTTGATTGGGCATATTGATCAAAGAATCTTGAATGCGCAGGTTTGAGGGCCGCCACTTGCCTTGTACAATAATAATTCAGCTTCTGTGTCTCCTCTAGAAGATCTTGGCATCCATTTCCCTCATTGCACAACTCATATTTGGATATTTCTATACTTTTGGAAGTTGCAAGAGTACTCTGTAAATAGAGAATATACGTAATATCAAAAACTTGCTACTTTTTTGGTTAGTTGGTAGGTGATTAAATCTTAAATAAATAATTTGGGTCGGATATAATTTTAAACTCTAGATAATTTGTACCATTTTTATATATTGTTAAAAGACGCACTGAAACTACGGTTTGTAATATGGCTGGTGAGATCTTTAGGATATTGCATTAATGTTTGTAATTTACTCTTTCTTCCTTTTTTCATTGTTTTCTAATGAAAGTACAATTTCTCTGTGATGTGAGCCAAAAAGCAGGAATGTAAGTTTGTTTTTATGTTACTTCAAGGTTACTGATAGGCCCAGTTTAAATGTATTAAACGCAAATCCGGATTTTAATTTGTTGTTCTAGAATCGATCGCTACTGTTCAAATTATTTCAAGTGATCTCTTGGACAATTTGAATAAGATTTACATAAGGAGTGAAGGAGGTGCGAAATTCGATATGCTTTCTGTATTATAACACCAGAAGTGAAAATGGTGAGCGGTTATTAAAATGGTTCGATAGGCGGGTTCCTGATGAACTTTTCATTGAGAATATTTTCAATATTTGCTTTTATATTGATGACTTCCTTAACGAAGTTTCAGTCTTTGTTTTTAGATTTTTTTTTATTATTATGTGATTCTGTTTTGTCGTATTGATATTTCAAATTTGCTGTGAAGTTTCTATGCTAGCCATTTCTCGAAAATAAGCGTATCGTTAGTCAATTTGCACTGCAAAAACTCTAAGTGAAATCGTCAATCCTCAATAAATTCGCCGTAGTTATCTGCAAACACTTAGCAATTTGCTTAAATTTATCATTAATTTATGCATGGCTATTGTATATCAAGTCCCCGTCAAGTGCATATTAACGATTTTAAAAGAAACCCTCCCCATTGAATTTATTATGGCACAGAATGGCCGGCGGCCAGCAGATGTGCTCAATAAACATATCATTATGAATACAAATAGCCATTTTCACAGCTTCCGATCCGTTTCATTTAATCTTTAAGGAAACGTTGCGCAGCGCTGGCTCATGACCGACCGTGCAACTCCTTTTACGTACCATCCCAGACTAAGATAACATTTTCCTCTTACATAACACATTGACTGCCTCCGCCGTAGTATATCGACTTCCTAGACGTGGGCATTGCTTCGGCTGCTGCATTTCTATGCGACGGACCCGTTCGCCACGATCTTCTATAAATTTCACGTATAAAGAAGTAAACGGAATGACGAGAGTCACGGCATATCGCGCGTGTTATATTTTGTTCGGTGTTTCGCGGGTGAAATGAGCCTTCAGGAGTGCATGTTCTGCTGTGGAATGCGGATTTGTTTACGTTGAATTCGTAGGTAGTTAGTTATTACTTTTTTATCTTTAAATTGAGGTTGTCGCTGCTTATCGGAATTAAATGGATCGATCGTTTCAGAAATCCACAAGTATTTAGCGATGTCATCAAAAGCAAACCATTTACCTAACAAATATATAGCTGGAGAACAAACTTGCAAAACTAAGTATTTCGACATTTTATTTAAATTTCTAACAATTATTTAAAGTAAAAACAATTAATTAATTTATAAGCTTCAATTAATAAGGAAAATGTCAATTTCGTGTAGCAATTGCATTTTGAGGCGAAGCACAAAGTTTAATTTCTCAAATGGTTGGGCGTTGACACAACTAAGGATCTACGTAGGAGAAAAAAATTTGAGGAATTTTGGTTGTTTCATTTAATGATATACTGCTTCAATTATATTAAGGTCAGGGCTACAAGCGATATTTACGGGTTCAATTTTCTTTGTGATTTTGGTCAAGCCGCGCTTGCTGGAATATATATCTTTTTCCAAAATTCTACTTCTCCATGGCTGGTAAAAGACTGATTTGCCTCAAACAAGGAAATCCTGAAGTTGTCAGACAACACCAGATTATCATTGCATTAGGAAAATTACAGGTATGATTTAGGCAACACATATGGAGGGCCTCATGTTCCGTGCCAATTACACGTTTGCGGCAATCAAAAAACACTCACGAAGAATTTTGATTCCTCACTACTCTTTGCTAGCCTTCTGCAGAGCAATTTTCCTTTGGCTTTTCTTAAAAAATTTCTGCTAACAATCCATTTCATTTACCTATAATTGTTTCATATTCCTGAACCCGCTCCATGGTGCATAAATGGATTCTAAACTTTAGTCTTGAGAATATTAAGTTTGTCCGACACTTGATATATTGTATTATTAGCTTTTAAGACCTAACTCGTTCTAACATCGTTCGTTCTATTTAATATAAACGCAGCGATAGAAGTTTTGCGTCGCTTTCATTACCTATTTGTCTTCTTTATCATTACTTTTGAACTTTGCTTTGGAATTTAATGTTAATTAAAAATGTTTTTATATTACTGTCTGGCCAGAATTTATGTTAGTCCACTAGATTAATAGCATTAAATTTAAATAAAAATTAAAGAGGAAAGCAAACGCTGGAACTCATTCATTTTAAAGGTGTTTTCTATTTCATAATCTGACATTTGATGCTAATGTGCTCAATAATAATATACAGAGTTTTTACTTTTGAAATACGGGATTGTCAAATTTTGGTAAATATTTTTTTTAGTCCGGTGTACTGTGCGTCTCAAAAATGAAAATATATTTATCTTCATGGTCACATTTTCATATTTACTATGTTAAATAGTCCAGTTTCCAATGGAAACTTTAACATCGCATTTCACTTCTCTACTATAGTGAGAATTCAGATTCGTTGGCCCACAGGGGCGAGTCATTTCGGTACTTTAGCAGCGGGTTCGGGAGCGATCGGATTTTTTCAATAAATTCTAGCCACTGATGGTATTTTGAAATTTCTCATCTCTGATGGTCGCATCACATGCTATTTGGCAAAAATATACTTACAAACTAATGGTCGTATACAGACGCAACACGTTGATAAACTTTTTCAAATATTCTCTCCGCTCGTGAATAATCAAACTCGTTACTTAAGTGGCTAATATTAAAGTTATTGCATACTATATTTTTGCTTATTTATTACAACGAAAACTGCAAAAATTTAAATTCTTGCAAACCAAAAACATTTTTGCGCATCAGATTTCAGAAATTGTCAGTAAACAAATTTTTTGTGGAAAAGAGAAACATTTCATTTCAGAAAGGTACTAAAATACTTATAAATGGTTGGTTCAGGTTATTGATTTATCTTTAATAATAAAGAATTTCAAGTTAGGGGTAATTTTAATAAACAAGCACTCAGTTCACTCAATACTACAGAAGATAAATAAAAAAGTTACAAAAACAATTTAAACACCCACCAATTAAGAGAGAATGAAATACTCATGCAAGTTTCATTTGAATTTATTGCAAATGGATAAAAACTGTGAGACTCGAAAATGGTGAAATTACATTGTTTTATTTTTTAAACTTTAACTTAACTTCATTGGCTGTAACAGCTTAAAGCTATAAGTAAAAAGCAAATGTAGACGGTTCAAGAAACTTTCAGACAGAAAAATAATTATATTGATTGACAAAATTTTAAAAAATCAATGCTTTATATTAAGAGTCGCTAGGATTGTTTACCGAAAATACTAGAATTTTCCTAAGCAGCTTGAGATAATTTTTGTTATGTTCATGTTATGCTCTTCATTCAAAATTTGTAGCAACCCACAAACCTCTTTTTAGTTAACATATGAAGATGGTTTTTAGCACTTTAAAAAGTCTTGTGCATAGTACGTTAAATTCTTTGATGGTTGATAGCATCAATTATTTTGTGAGGAAGGCTTGACGTTTCGCCTTTTGTTGTAATTCCGTAACTGATGTAAACAACCTAGATTAAAAATAAATCGAGAGAAAGCAAACCACACTTTATAATAGCGTGTAATATGAGACCGATTTGACCGCTTACCGCTTCATTATAATATTATTTTCTCCCGTTTATTGACGTTGCGTGCTTCAGTTTCTTGAAGCAAATTTAAAATCGAAACGCGACGACGGCAATACGCTCGCGTATTAGAATTAATGATAAAGGAGGAATAAGGATTTTTTTGTTTGCATTTCTTCAGCTACCAGTGCGTGAAATTTGCCTTTGAACGTCAAAATACCACCAGTTGTTAAAATCTACCAAAAACACATCGGATTGTTTAATGAGGCTGAACTTTTTATTTTAACTTGATTACATTTCACTGCAACTTTTATCGTTAAACAAAAAAAAAATGCATTTTTTCCTAATTTATTTTTTCTGGGCGTCATAAGAAGTGTGGTTATTGTAGTGTCCCAATTAACAGGAAACCAAATCAATCAAAATCAGCTGTGGTATAAAACAGATGGTGATTGATTTTCATGACAGAAGAATCTAGTGTACCTACCAATGAAAAAATGAAATGAATTATAGCTTAATGGAGGAGAAATATGGTAATTCATTTTTGTTCTCTATAAAAAATAAGGCGCAACAAGCTCCAACAGGGATAAACATTTGTAAAATTTTATCGTTGAAAAATAAATATCACATGTCGGTATCATGGATATCTTTTTTCTGCAATGATGGCAGATATAATATATGACCCCGTAAACCATCAACGCTTTTACCCTAGGTTGAGGACTTCATAAATTCAAAAAATCAAGCCACAGTTACTCACCAACTGCGATCTGTGCAGAAACATTGATGTTTATTGATATGACCATTTAAATATATCTGTCCAGTTTATTATTGCTGGGTATTATTTAATTATTAGAGTGGGACGTTTTTTTCAATTCAGTTAGTTTTGTGGCCGGATGGTGCATTTATTCTGCAGCTGCTTGCATGGTTTGTGCTGAACTATAAATTCGATGGATTGCTATTGGATGCTTTAACTGGTTTAGTAGGACATTTTTTTAAGCTCTCTATTTGAGGAAGAAGAATTTGCATTTATGAAGAACTTTCTGATTTATTGTGTTTCCAAGTCATCCAGAAATTTCGCTTTTTGCCTATAAAACTTAGGGGTAAGGGAAAGCTCAAACTTGTTGTAGGTCGACCAAATACATCGCCAATTGTAAACTACAAGTGACTTTATTGCTTTTTTCAGAACCAACGATTCCACAATGTGACAGATAAGCTCCCGTTTTGCTATATAATGGGAAACTCTGGCAACGCTCTGCGTGCAACCCAATCAGAGAGCGGGTATCAGAAAGAGACAAGCAGTCGCGTGCTCCTATTCCTGCATAGGACGTGGGCCATCATTTTGACTTCCAAAGCTCGCGCACGTTTGAGTAGAACCATCCACAGTACTGACACAGGAAGCCAATACACGTCGCAATTTTCCCAGTACTCGTTTTGCAGCTGCTCTCAGTGTCAAAGAGATGACGTCATAAGTAGCGGATGTTTTAGGTATAGTTACACTACTTCTTTAACTTCTAACCTAACTTTCCATCCTGTTTTGATGTGAGGTGGGTGCGATTGGAGCAGATTCACCGAGTTTAGTTTTGATTGAACCAGCAAAGATCGTGCCGTTTAAGATCTTCCAGGATTTCCCATAACTTTTCCGCCTTTGAGCAGCAGATTAGAATATACATCAAAAAAGGCTTTGTTCATAATGTTAGTCGTTAAAAAGATGCAAGGAGCTAAAAGTAAAACTTAATTTTCGAAATACCTTTATAATTTTAAAACGGGTTTCCGTGCATTGAAAAATGGATCGAAATATCGACATTAACAAAATATATTCTTGAAGCAGAAAGAATTACTCTTATTTAATATTATAAATAAAATAATGTTAATATTACAAAAACTATAGATCTGCATAAATTTTAGACAAAAATATTTTGAAGCATACTTTCAGAAATTTAATAGGTTTAAACAGAGACAATAAAAATTTGAACAAAATATGTTACTAAATGAACAAAGCTAACATCTAATGTTTTTATTGATACAGACAATGATAATGTGAAAAAGACATAATTTATTTTGATAATAGTAAAAATAAAGTCTTTATTTCAATTATAAAACATTTTACAAAATAAGTAAACAGCATTTCATGCGAGATCAAACTATTGAGGATACTAGTATCTCGTTCTATGCAACCCGAAGGAAGAGAATTTAAAGGCACACAAATTTCCAATTTTCTTAGAGGCCATTTAAATGAATAATTAACAATAACAAAAAAATCAAAAATAATATGAATAAGAATTACAGCAAATTGAAGCAATGGATGCTTGCTAATACAAAAGATAAGTATGTTATGTAATATGTTTGATAACCTCCATTTTCGTCACGAGTTTAATAAACGCTTGACTGAAGGAGTTTATCAATGTGTTAATACGATACTTTTTTACGACCATTGTTTTTTTTTTACATTTTGTTATTTATATTTACAGAATACCATGCGTAACACCGATTATAATAATTAGTGTAGTCCAACACACGATGAATGTAGTAATACTATTAATGTAATAAATCAAAACGGTTCATATTAGTAGTAAAAAAATTGAGACACAAAATATATGAATACATTATGTTATATTGCGTACGGTACAATTGTAATCATATAAATAATAAATGCATATTAAATGAAATTAGTCGTCAATAATAAATATAATATATTGGTGGTTTTTTTTATATGCTGCGTTAAAGCTGCAGAAATGTTATAATCAACTTTCAAAGTTGTCTTTTCAAAGTAGTATTTTTAAAATTTAAATGCGCCGAAACACTATGTGCTATTGTTCGATATTAAAGATAAAATTTAAGTATTATATAAATTTTACCTTCACTTTCTTTTTGGTTCGTTATTCTCCTATATTCCGTCATCGAAATTTTCTTTAACGATCTAAACACAACAAATAATGACTGTAAGTAACACCAGTAATACCAAAGTGCAAATGATTTTAACATTTCCAAGGTGTCGACACTTCTAAAATAAAAATACCTATCTGTATTGGTAAATGGTTTATTAGCAGTAAAGTGTCTTCCGTTTATTAATATGGCATCTTGAAAAGGTATAATATTCGAATAATGACAGGGTGTTTCGTTTATGCGAATATCTTTGTTATATTAAAAATGTAAATGAAAATGAATAAAAACGTTTATCAGTATCAATAAAGAAAAGCGAAAAATATGAAAAATGTTTTCTAAACGTATAGTCTTGTAGTGTCTCGTAGTGTCTTTCGTTACTATATTTTCTAAAAAACGTGGCAACGCAGCAGACATCACTAAATCAAAATGCATTATTTTACTTTGAAATATTTATTTTTGTATATTCATAAATTTTTATATTCATTATTCTTGTACCTTTAATAATAATAGTAACCTGTTCGCAGTAATTGATCATCCTGTATGTATTTTATCCATTATTTACACAACCGCTTCAGATTAGTATACGAGTCAATAGGTATCCATTTACAGAATGTTCAAGAATAATAAAAAAATAATTTTTGCCGGAGTGACAAAAATAGTGGTTCACTAATAAGAATTCAACAAGAACTTTAACTCCATTCTAAAAGAACAATTACTTGAAAACAAGGTTCTAGTCTACAATTTCATTATTCTTGTTGGATTAATAATAATGATGTTTATAACTGCTTCAGTTCAACCACTCGTTTAGATTCAAAGTTCTCACGTTACAGTTACAAACTTCGTCTTCGCACGCTTAACGTGAAATTTAGGAGGTCATAATTATGACTTCGGAATGGCAAAAAAGTAACTATTATAAGCTGCAATGCAAAATGATAAGTGTGTTGAGTAAAAAAACTACTCCATCCGTTTTAAAGTTGCGGTTCACTTTCAAGCACGTCCGTTGCTCTCCATTTGTTGTATTAATCTTGTTTAGCGCAATTCTAGTTCCATTCCCAAAATCGCAAAAGCCTTTTTTATAATTAAAACGACGAAACACGAGATCTTTACCCACTGTCGTAACTTCGGACGTTTCCGGTATTTTAGTCACGCGTTTAGGAGGGATCGGATGCTTTCGGTAGATCCATGATCTCTTGACGTTTGTCATTTCTGATGCATATGTCACACGGCACACTCAGTGGATGTATTCGTGCTGGTTTGCAATAATATATCAAAAAACTAGTTGTCCTAGATGCTCGTTGATAAATTTCAAATTTCACTTGCTCCGTCGCGTACTGCTCGTACCATATGAAACTTGTAACTAAAACAGTGTTTATTGAACTTGTTCCTTAATATACTATTATAAGGTGTTATCTTATGTTTATATGTGCTATCCTGTAATTGGGCAACCTAGGCTGTCTGTTGGTTAGCCCTTGGGTTTATAATTACATACATAAACAATACTGTTTTTGATGAAGAGGTTCCAATTTTTAAAATTTAATTTGAACATCGTGTGTTTTATTGTATACAATGATTTGTCATAAAGAATAAGAGTTGATTTTGTCAATTATTACATGTTAAGTTGTTTTACACGAGTTTTTGAAATATTTGGATGCGAAAAATTCCTTATCTTATTTTGAAATTATGATAGACTTTTTATCATTTATTTGTTAGAACGATTAGTATATGGTATTGCAAGATTTTTCGCTCGCCTCACATTGCTTTATGGAGCAACATGATTTACACTTTCGGGGTGCTATAGGAATTTCTAGACCCAAAAATTTCATTTTGTGACAGATATTTGACATCCATTGCTTTAACAATCCTTCAGAAGAACATTTCCTGGGCAGAAATTCTGAGCTTATTTTCGTTTTACCCATTTTTTAAACATTTCCTAATTTTGGTATGTCCGACGATTAGTTTTACTGAGTCTAAAAGAGAATAAAATGGCGGAGTAAGCACTCAGCGATCTCTTCACCATTCTAATGACGAGATAAAAATGATAGACAAAGACAACCTATTTATTCTCGAAGAACGCGCACTCAGCGCAAAATTGATTCAAGTAGCCAAAAACTAAACAGACCTTTATTTAGCATTATAAAGTCGTTTTAAATGCAGAAATTCGTAACGAGAGGGCGACACCCATGAGTCGGTTTTATGGCGGATGCGCCAGTTCGTGTGAATTTTATATATCTATTGGTGTTTATGATTTGACAGTTAGAAATAGTGTGAAGAAGTTGATTTCGGTATCGTCACTTTCTTGACATTAGATTACTGTGCCTACAAAACGCATGCATTCTATGCTATCCACATGTCATCTAGCCCGCGCTAAACGCAAAATGTGGATAATATGGTGGATGCGCTATTCTCAAGAATACCGCAGAATAAAAAGCAATACAAGATATCGCTCTTAACATTTTGTGAAAGTATTATAGAGCTTTATAAAGACCTTTTCAAGTTTTCCATTTAAATAACTATGATGAGAGAATGAAGGATAAAGGAAAATTATTATTAAAATATTTGTCAGAAGAAAATTTAAACACAAAGTTTTGACTTTCTTTTTAAAGGATGTGTATATTGAAGATAATGTTGCATTCTTATATGGCATTAAACTTATTATGTGTTTATTAAGTTATAATTTCTCATTTAAATTCATTTTTTATAAATACTTCTTACAGTCCATGTTTACGATCAATTAATTTGCGAGGTGCTCAGATTTGCTTCGCAGTCAAGAGACAACGCAAGTAAATACTGCGACTCAAATTTTAAACCGAAATAACAAGTACCTGAGGGGAATTAATGTGCGTTTCTATGTTTGAGAGCGCCGCCGAGGACAGTCTGATAAAAAACATACATAAAGTCGATTCCACCATCGGCACTTGTATGACATGCATGATAAGTGATACGTTCGTCCAACTGGGACGCAAAATTATTTTTAAATTATTATTAATTTCACGCGGTCTTCGCTCGAGTGTTCGCAGCTGCTTCGTACATTGTCTGCTCAGTCTTCCACGTTATGGAATTTTACCACATCAAATCAACCTCCATCTTTTTAATTATATCGATGCGAATGTGCGAAATTTAATAACGTCGGATATAAGTTCCACGAATTGATTATAGTTAAAACTGCCTAACGGCGTGTCTAGACGGCCAAAATATCTAACTCCATTTAGAGATAAATTGATTTTGGATTGTTTTCATAAAGTAACTTAACATTAATTTTTGCGCGATTATCATATTTTTCAAACTTTTCATAATTTATAATAAAACATTTTATCTCTATGAAAAAGGTTTCATTCAACCTGAGAAACACAGTAAGGAATTTGGTTATGCCATAAAAAGTTATTATATTTTTAATTGAACAGAAAGAATGTATTTTGATGACATTTTGTCTACTGTGGACATTACATTTTTTGGTTGTTTCGATATATTACTTAAGCATTTAAGTTTGGCATTTATTATTGGCTTTATAAGGAACACATATTTAAAAAATACAGCATATAAAAAAAAATATAATTTCATTCATTCATTGATTGCATTTTTTCGTCCACTAAATATCCCAGAAA